TTATCCAGTATGAATTAATCGAGAAAAATTCACAAGTGTAAATCCATACTGATTTTTCTTAATACCTCTCATACTATTCACATCAGCCCAATCACACCGAAATAAGATAATTTTTCACTTGCCATAATAATCCAACTCAATGATGTCATTAATCGTGCCATAATGTCAACATTTCCCTCTAAAGAGTTTATGTCCTTAGCATTACAATAGCTAATAGTTGATGAAGTAACAACAACTCTTGAATTTTGTGTACTGCTAAATCTCTTACGGGATTTAGTGTGAAATCTAAATCTATTGATGATTAAACCTTTGTATCATTTCACAATCCTGTTTGGACCTTGTAAAAGACACTTCACCTCTTTACTAACAAGCCTTCCACTCCAAACTTATAAAAGTGTAATAAATATATATGTTATTAATGTTAGTTATACCTTAAGCATTCTATGTAGATTTCTCATAAAGGGAAGTATGGCATTACTTACAGTTGCTCCTAAGCATTCATGAAAGTTTTCGATGAACAACTTATCAAGCTCTCGACGATTTGATCATCGATAATGTGCAGGAGCACTCAAATTATTTCTATTCTCATTACAAAGCATCATGATAAAGTATTAACAATAAAAAAATACAATAAATTATGCTTAATGTAGTGAATAACTTCCTTGCTAAAAAACTGACATGCAAGACGATTCAATAGAGTCATGATGAAAAAGAACATATCGATGTGCTTGTGCCTAAGATTTATCATTTAACTCCACCATTTCAGCTTTGCCTATTGGTTGTCCAAAACTTTGAAAAAGATAGTTGTAGGCAGAGTCATATTGTTGCATACCAATATTTCTCGATGGTTTATTAAATCTCGTTTCAACATCTTCCAAATAACAAGAACAAAATGTCATACACTCTTCTGCTAAATATCTTTCAGCAATAAAACCTTTCGGATAGTGTTTGTTACGACAATAAGACTTTAACATCCCCAAAAACTTATCACATTAAACATTAGTCATATATCTTTTTAACTAGAATGGCATGATCATCAATCTATTATTCATCATTGAAGGTGTTTTTGACCAAAAATGCTTTCAATAATCCTTTAATAAAAACGTTGAAGTAGTTCAGTCGGTTAAAGTATACGTTTATTAACCATAAAGTTGTAGGTTTGATTCGTTCCTCTAGCATTTTGAGGGTTTTCCAAGATATTATTTAAGACATTTTTTGCCAAAATATGTCTCATAATCTACAATGTCTAGACACCACCTTTTTATACAAAAATACCAAAATATCATTATTAATATTGTCATAACCATTTTTCGTTCAAAGTATTGTCATCAATATTTTGTTAATTAAGTGTGATTAGCTATTTAAAAAAATTAACCTTTCAATAAATTCTAAAATTAATTAATCTGTACTAAAAGGATATTGTGGTCTGCAAAATCAATATTTAGTTTGAGTATGGTTACACATGAAAAATGTGTCAACACCCTTACAACATTTATCCAAAAATGATACTAATTAATCTTATACGATCCTAAAATGATCTTGACTAAAATGGTCTTTTATTCAAAACTTGTATCAATTTTATTTTTATTTAATTCATATTTAAATATTAAAAATTTTCCCAATTCTTTTCAAGCATTTTCGATGTAACTTAAAAAATTTGCTCACTTTCATGAAAATCACTTATTCTTTTGAATGAACTTTATGGTTGATTTATTTTAATATTTTATAAGCATAATAAATCAAATTCTCTTACCGGAACATTTTTAAAGTCTTCCCAACATTTTTTGGTATGATTTTAAAAAATTCTTTATCAAAAAATTTCAAGAAAATCTCCTATCACGACTTCATTTTAGTTTTATCATTGATGAGAGCTTAATTTACATTGAAAACTTATTAATTAATTATTATGTTAGATAAAAGAGTAAATGAAGTTTTATTGGAATAATTCCAAAATTCTCCAACACCCTTGATAAAATTAAAAAAAAAAAAAACTAGGAATTTTCAATAAAATCATTACTTTTGATTTGATTTTAATTTTATTATTGAAAATTTTTAATTTATTTTTTAATTTTATTATTTAATATTTATTATTCAAAGTAAATAGAAATTTCTTTTAGTGGAAAATTCTAAAACATTTCTAACATTTTTAGAATATTTTGAAAAATTCCTTAGCTACAAATTTTAATAAAATCACTACTTGCAAATTTATTTTAATTTTGAAGAGGATTTCATTTAATTTCAAAGATATTTGAACATTTTAACAAAAATGTATGAAAACCTTTTATTACAAAAATTTTCAAAAATGTTTCTAACACTTTTGAGAATAATTTTTTTGAGAAAATACGATGTTTAGAAATTATGAATAAAATCATCACTTATGGTTTTATTTTATTTTCATATTTAAACAATCTTATTATTTTTCAAATTTTATAAATTAATCATTTAATATTTTATAAAAAAAAATTTGTTGGAAAATTTTAGAAAATTCTACTAACCCTTTTAGTAAAATTTTTGAAAATTCCTCACCTAATAATTTTCAATTAAATCACCATTGTGATTTCATTTTTATTTCATCATTGCAAAATTTTTGCTTTTTGTATCAGTTCTTAAATAATTACAAATTTTTATTTAATTAGTTGAAAATTTCACAAAATTCTACCAATACTTTTGGTAACATTTTTGGAAAATTCCTTATTTAGAAATTATCAATAAAACCACCACTTGAGTTTTTATTCTAATTTCATTATTTTATTATTTTTTAAAAACATTTTTTATTTATAATATTTTATTTATATTTATTACTAAAAATGAAGTCTTAATTTTTATTTTATTTTAATTTTCAAACACCAAATAATTAAAAAATATTTCATATTAATCGCAGATCAAACAAATCACCCCTGTTAATGAACTCATTGCAGTAGAGAAAACCTAGCATAAAGTCCATTTCCAACTTCACATGGATAAATAAGCACCACTCATTCTTTGAAAACTCCAGAATTTCACAATACTTGTCTGCTATATAACAAGGGAAAAGCATTCAAACTGCTATACTTGTCTGCTATTCATCAAAGCTTGCATGTATGTCTTTTGAATACCAGTCCCTCCATCTCCTTTTTCTATCTCACTAATGTTCCTATCACCCACAGCAATGCCCGAATTGTTATCCACCACCATCCCCTGATTCCCCACCCCTTCACTTGTCTCCAATATTCACTTCTTCCATTAAACCTAGCCATATTAACCCCAGCGCGAAAATCCAGAATTCACGATCCATTTAGCCTTTCAACTTCTCTCCTTGCTATATCTAAATCTTCAAAGCGAAAAAAAAAAAAAAAAAAAACCCAAATCTTCTCCCCCTTTCGCTTGTCTTTTCTGGAATGAACACACCTACAACCAAACCATGATATTGCAAAATCTGCCACAATCATCTCAAGTGGACTTTTGGAGGCATATTGTTCACAAAAACAGTCGCTACTTCCTACAAACCCCGAAAATATTGATTCATCAGCTTTCGTTAAAAACGTTACTTCTACTGATACAATATTAACTACTTTGCTTCGTACACCATGCGGTACTTGCATAAATATTTTCATTACTTGTTTATAAAGGCAGAACGTACTACTTAATTTATTTGTTTAAAAAATAAAATAAAAGCCAATTAAAGAGGTTTTTTTCTGACGAGATGCTTTCAGTTTGCCCAGGTTTTTTTAAATGGTTATTCAAATATGTTATTTGAGACTCCAAGCTAGATAATAATAATAAAAAAATACTGATAAACTTTTGCACTCTTGAACTCAACGTATAAGATTCCAATTCTCTTCTCTCAAAATCGTATCAAACCATGAGACCAAGCAGGATTACTTTTTCATTCTATAAATTTAAAACTATAGGAATTCACGCATTTTTTTTCTATAAATCACCATTCCTACCGGTTTGGTTATGGCCAGCCTACTTGGCATTTTTTTCTATGAAGCAAGCATGCATGTAACTAAATGACAATTTGGATCTGCCGGCTTTTTATATGAAAATTGATTGTTGATCAGGGCTTTCATTGCTCACAATTCACAAAACTCATAAATATGGATTGTAATTGTAATGCCAAAAAATTTTTAATATAATATATCATACACGTTTATGTAAAAGTAAAACTTTTAGATTAGATATTCATTTTAAGATTCAACGTTTACTAAATTCTTTATTTTAGAATACAATGTTTTTATTTCTTTCAGATTAATAAATGCTTCACTTTAAAATAGAACCTTTTTTTTTCAATCTAGAATGCAACCTTTTTATATTTATCTATTTATAGACATTTATGGAAAAAAAATTAATGATTACCATTAAAAGGATTAGCATTTACCATGCACTACTAGAAAAAATTGTTTTAGCAACCATTAACGTTGTTACAAAATGATAATTTATCATTGCAAAAACATTTTCATAGCGGGAAAAAGTCGTTGTAAGATCGTTACCGTTATCTTCATTGTTAAAATTATACGCAAAGATTTTCATTATATTAAAAATTTTTTAAAAATGTTTACTACAATTTTTTCTCATAAATAAATAAATTATCTTTAAATAATTATTTAATACAATTGTCAAAATTTTCTTTTAACAACCATTTATTTAGTTACCAAAACTTTTATATAATAACATTATTTTGGTTGCCTAAAAATTGTTTACAACATAATATTTTTTGTTGCAAATCATCTTTGGCAACAATTATTCTGTCATTACAATAATTAATTTAATAATAACAATAACTGTTGCAAAAAGTTCAATTAAGCAACTATTATAAAAAATCTTTGCAAATGAAATGAGATTTTGCAATGATATTTTCAGCCATTGCTAAATAATTTCATTTAAGGTTTTCCATGTGAAAGTTGCTTCAATTAACAGTAACCAATAACTTCTTTTTCATCAATGTTTTTAAGTGGATAAAATGGCAAAAGAATGCATTTTAATGTTAAAGAAATAAAGATTAAAAAAAAAATCATTGGCAGCCCATACGTTAATTTTAATATTAAGTCTTTGTCTCACACTGCCTTCAACCAAGAAAAGTGAGGAAAAAGGGGCATATAAGTAAACATTAGTGGATTGCCATCTTATCTCTATATAAGCCATTGCTCTCTTTGAACTCAAAAATCATAAGCTTAGTTTCCTGCCCTTGAGTTCCCGGTCGGGAAACAATCTCTTCTGTTTTGCTTCACCAAATATTTTTTGAGCATTGGAAAAAACTCATTGAAGTTTCTCCAGATATTCCCCCTTCTGTTGTTGACAAGTGCTCTGATCAGGTTGATTCCAGAAATCTAATACTACTTGTTTGTATGTTTCATGTTGCAGCTGCTTTTTCCTTGCATATTTTCAGTGCATGAGCAGTCATGGAGAAAACCCCAGACTGTATAATTCTTTTAAACATCAGATTCCAATGGCATTTTTTATTGTTTCTTATAAGATATAACCATAATCCTATTTGCAAAAGTTTCTTCGGGAAAATTACTTACTATTCGTTTGAGGTTTTCCCCTTACGTGTCCAACTTATTTACTTCAAATCATCGGTGCTTCATTCAAATAAACTTTGCCGTTTTTTATGTAATCCTGATATTTTTATCTCCATGCAACAGTGCCAATTATTGTCTTGAAATTTGAAATCATCATCATCTCCCATAGTATCAACTGTAATAGCTTAGTTTTGATTTAGAAGAGAATGTGGAAGCTTAAGACAGCAGAGGGTGTAGACGGACCATACTTGTTCAGCACAAACAACTACGTCGGCAGGCAAACCTGGGAATTCGACCCTGACGCTGGCACCCCTGAAGAGCGAGCCGAGGTTGAAGAGGCTCGCCAAAATTTCTACAAAAGCCGCTTCCAGGTCAAGCCAAGTGGCGACCTCCTTTGGCGTATGCAGGTATCTATCGTCTCTCTGTATGAACACAGCTTCTTCTTTTTAGAGAGCAAAATTAAGGGACCTATTTTCTGATAACTTCCATGTTAAATGTTTTTATATTTTAATCATTTTTAGTTTTTAGTGTTTTCTGATAACTTCCATGGGATCCTAAAAGTTGCTTTTTGTTTTCGATTTAAACTCCCATTTTGTCCTTTTTTTGTTGGTTTTTGGTTCCAAATATTTTGGGATTTTTCCTTACATATCATGACAATGCCTTAAAGGCCAAAAGAGTATTTGTTTTTGTTGGCAAGGAATTTAATGTTGTAATAACGATAAGCAGCCCAACAGTTTCTATTTTTCTTTTCTTTTCTTCTCTTTCTTTGAAGTTCTGAACCGGAATCCAACAAGAAATTCCCTCCTTCCTTTGCCTTTTATCATTTTCTATTACCTTTTATACAAGCTTTATTTGAATTAGTAGATTTTTTTTCTTGTGGACCTCGATCGCCAACTCAGCCCAGCCATCTTCTCAAAATATTGGGGATTATGTGAAGCTTCTCTCTCTGACTTCTATTTGGTCCTTTTCCATCTTCGTTCTAAAACTGGCACTGGCTCTTCTCTTTTATTATTTTTCAAGTTTTATGTCATTTCTCTGTATGGTGTTGAATGGTTCAAATTATATTTTTAAGTTCTCATGCATGTGGACATTTTTACTAATTATCAAAATAGGTCACCTTTTTAACTTAAAAGCTTAATTTAATGAGTTCATATAGTAGAAAAAATAAAATGACTGGATCTTGTTTTTATTTATATTATTTAAGCCTTCTTTTACGATAACTGCCGGTGCCCAACCCCTTCTTTGACAGGATCGATTGCATAAAATTTCATTTTCATATGCTGCTGTTAAATAATTTAAAATTCGAAAAAAAAGGAAAAAAAATCAATATATATAAATAAGAAAATTTTAAACTATCAAAAAAAATATTTTAAAGAAAAAAATTTATGTATTTTAGTCTGATTCTTGAGATTATTATAGCTCATTTTTATTTCTTTTAATTTGATTTTTATATAAAATTAGGAGCTTAAATACAAAGAACAAAAAGCTGTAGTATTGAAAGTAATTTGGCGATGCATATGATGAATATTTATAACTTTGTTTGACTTAAAATATCGCAGTTTCTGAGGGAAAAGAATTTCAAGCAAACTATACCAGCAGTGAAAATTGAGGATGGTGAGCAAATTTCGTATGAAAAGGCCACAACAGCACTGAGGAGGGCTGTACATTTCTTCTCAGCTTTGCAGGCTAGTGACGGTCATTGGCCCGCAGAAAATACTGGTCCATTGTTTTTCCTTCCACCCTTGGTAAGCACCCTTCACTCCTTTCGTATGTAGCCTCTTGGCTCCGTTAGTTAATGTATAGTTACAAGTGATGATGCAATTTTTAACTGTATCAAGTCCCGCCTAGTTGGCCAGTATACATTCAATCACCCAACTGGCTTCCTCCTCAATGTAAACCTGTCTTTTATTGTATAGAGTACTAGTAATTCCTATCGTGTTTTGAATAAAAATTATGTATTAAAATTTATGTTAACACAAAAAATATAAATTTTATTTTTTATTTTTATTAAATTTATATATGATTTTTTGTAAAAATTTTAAATTATGTTTTTTATTTATATTTTTATAATTTTCGTATCGTATTATATCTACTCTATATCAAAAATAATTATAAAAAGAAACAGAAGGCACTTTAAACCATACCAGGTGCGAATAGGTACTAGGAACTTCAATTAATCATCTGTAGTAACTGGCAGGTAGAGTAAGAAGTTACCATTTTTAGGAGAGGACAATGTCCAACAAAACAAAAAATCTGTAGCAAACTAGCTAAAATATGAAGCTAACTGTGACTTGTCAAACAACCGTAACCATATGCAAATGCTAATCACCGATGTTATTAAATGAAAATTGCAGGTCTTCAGTATGTATATTACCGGACACCTTAACACCGTTTTTCCCGAAGAGCATCGTAGAGAAATCCTTCGTTATATATACTACCATCAGGTACACACTCTTGATTGTTACTTATTATTATCATTATTAGTATAAATATATACAAGTAAATTGAAGTATTTATATGAAGGTGACGGGTTTGGTGAGATGCAGAATGAAGATGGTGGGTGGGGATTGCATATAGAGGGTCACAGCACCATGTTCTGTACTGCTCTTAGCTACATTTGCATGCGTATTCTTGGGGTAGGACCCGATGGCGGACAAAACAATGCTTGTACAAGAGCCCGCAAGTGGATTCTTGACCATGGCAGTGTCACTCACATGCCCTCTTGGGGAAAGACTTGGCTTTCGGTAAGTATGATGCACATATTTTACAAATTGACTTCCAGAACTTGCCCATATTGGGATACACAGAAAACCAAAGAATCTGTACCAAATACATTGAATTAAGGACAAATGTTTGCTAATCACACAATGTTCTTTTGCTGTAGATACTTGGTGTTTTTGACTGGTCTGGAAGTAACCCAATGCCCCCTGAGTTTTGGCTCCTTCCTTCTTTCCTTCCTATGCATCCAGGTTAATTTGCATGAATTAATTTCTTTTCAGTGTTCTAAATCTTTAGTATCACTATTATCAGTTCATATTACCTTTCGAATGCGCAGCTAAAATGTGGTGCTACTGTCGTATGGTGTACATGCCTATGTCATATCTATATGGCAAAAGGTTCGTGGGGCCAATCACCCCTCTCATTGAACAATTGAGAGAAGAACTCTACCTTCAGCCGTACAATGAAATTAAGTGGAAGAAAGTACGCCATTTATGTGCACCGGTAAGTTTATCTTTGTTGTCTGCAAACTGCAAAGACATTTGAACCACGCTACAATTAAGCTCTTAAAACATTGATAAACAATTTGTTATTACAGGAGGATATCTACTATCGACATCCTCTGATTCAGGATCTGATGTGGGATAGTCTATATATATGTACCGAGCCTCTGCTTACTCGTTGGCCTTTGAACAAGTTGGTCAGGGAGAGGGCTCTTCAAGTAACAATGAAACATATCCATTATGAAGATGAGAATAGTAGATACATCACCATTGGTTGTGTGGAGAAGGTAATTTTGCAATCATAGTTAGTTGAAGGAAATAGGAATATTGAGGTTGTGAAAATTCAATCCATATAATATATGGCTATTTGATTGCTATCGTTCTGGTGCCCTTGAATGGAATAGGTGTTATGCATGCTTGCCTGTTGGGCTGAGGAGCCAAGGTAGTGATTATTTTAAAAAGCATCTTGCTCGAATCCCGGATTACCTTTGGGTTGCTGAAGATGGAATGAAGATGCAGGTTTGTTCACATGCATTCTCGAAATTAACCATATTTATTGATTTAGTGCTGACAGAGTTGGTAACAAGGGAAATTCTTGCAAGCTTTGATTTTCCTTCAAAGATTCCTTTCAAGTGCTGATTTAACACATTATATTGGTCCGCAGAGTTTTGGAAGCCAAGAGTGGGATACTGGTTTCGCTATTCAAGCTTTGCTTGCTAGTAACCTTAACGACGAAATTGGACCTGTACTCAAGAAAGGACATGACTTCATCAAGAAATCTCAGGTTTAATATCGGCTTCATTTATCATGAAGTCATTTCCAATCCCTCTCCTTTTTTTTTTTTTTTTGGTTCATTAAATATCAATTGAGAATAATTGTTATCTTCTGCTTACAATTGAATAGGTCAAGGACAATCCTTCTGGTGACTTCAAGAAAATGCATCGTCACATTTCCAAGGGATCTTGGACTTTCTCTGATCAAGATCATGGATGGCAAGTTTCTGACTGCACTGCAGAAGGATTGAAGGTAATTTCTTTAGTCTTAGTCAAATGCATGAAAAAAATTGAGTGATACATCTATTCTATAAATTCATCTTGCTTTAACAGATATTCCTCTATTTTGTAGTGTTGCCTGCTAATGTCCATGTTGCCACCAGAAATTGTTGGTGAGAAAATGGAACCTCAGCAGTTATATGATGCGGTCAATATTCTGCTCTCTCTGCAGGTAAGAATTTTCTCAATCTAGATTTTCAAGGATAGCTTTCACTTATTTTAACTTGTCCATTTATATAAGCTTCGACGCTTCACTTCTTGAAGAGCAAAAATGGAGGATTAGCTGCGTGGGAACCAGCTGGAGCTCAAGAGTGGTTGGAAGTAAGTGCTTAAGCATTGAAATGCATCTGTTAATTTTGCCAGAAATCTGTTAGAATATTAAACTACTTTTTATACTCTTTCTTAATTTTCATATATTAATGATGGTTCTTCTCTGTTGTTGGTCCTAGATGCTTAATCCCACGGAATTTGTCGCTGATATAGTCATTGAGCATGAATATGTTGAGTGCACTGCATCTGCAATCCATGCCTTGGTTTTGTTTAAGAAGTTGTATCCTGGGCATTGGACGAAAGAAATCGAAGATTTTATTACAAACGCTATACGCTACCTTGAAAATGTACAAATGCCTGATGGTTCATGGTATGTTCTCTTCACATTCATAATTAATAGGAGTGTTATGATTGCTTTGAACGCATCAATAATCAATTATATCAACACTTAAACAGGTATGGAAACTGGGGAGTTTGCTTCACATATGGTTCATGGTTTGCACTTGGAGGGCTAGCAGCAGCTGGAAAGACATACACCAATTTTCTAGCTATGCGCAAAGGTGTTGAATTTCTGATCAGAACCCAAAGAGAGAATGGTGGCTGGGGAGAGAGCTACAAATCATGCCCTGACAAGGTAAATCTTTATGTTTACAAATCATTGAGATATGACAAATATTAATTTAATTAGTAAAATCTATGTGCTTGGTGATGCAGAGATATGTACCTTTGGAAGAAGGTAAATCAAACTTGGTGCATACTGCATGGGCTATGATGGGTTTGATTCATGCTGGACAGGTGAGTTTAAAAGTCTGTTGGTGAAGTAATGCCCATTGTAGCTGTCATGATCTTTCGTTCTATAGCTTTTGACTTTGAAAGTTTGAAACAGGCGCAAAGAGATCCAATGCCTCTTCACCGCGCTGCGAAGCTGATAATTAATTCTCAATTCGAAGATGGTGACTTTCCCCAACAGGTGCTAATTCTTGCTATAGCTTACTTGAAAATGCCTTTTAGCCAATAGATACATAGTCTGTTGATAGAGTGTTAGACTCTTAATTCCAGTGATCATGGTTCAAATTCCAATAATCTCAACTACAAAAAAAAAGGAAAAATACTTTTTAGTAGACTTTATGGAAATTCAAGTAGTAAATTTAGGCAACATGCTTGGTTTAAGCATTTAGGAAATATAATTTAATTTATTAATACATTGTACTATTATGTTCCTGCACCTAAACTTTTATCTAACAATTGAATCTTATTCCGACAGGAAATTACTGGAGTCTTCATGAAAAACTGCATGTTACACTATGCAGCATATAAGAACATTTTCCCACTGTGGGCACTTGCAGAGTACCGCAAACGTGTACCATTGGCTTAATCCCATGCAAAAGGGTTTGATTCATGAACTTCTGAAACTTTAGTGATCAAACAGGAAAGAAGTGACGGCTTATGGGGACTTGTTGACTCTGTTTTACTACCCTATACTCTTTTCTTTTGTATCTTTCACAATGGCTATTCATGAATGTACAAATATCAATGAGTTGATGTTCTATCCTACAAAGGGAGAGGATAGAGCTTGTAAAATGGTATATCTTCAAATAATAAAAAATAATGGAGAAGTTCTCTTTTTTTTTTTTTTTCTCACTTTACTGTATATCAGCTTTGGTCACTATAACATTGCTGCAATCGCAACAAGCCATAATTTTCAGCAAAATAAAATTTTATTCAAACATATTCAATGGAGAGATGCCTATATTGCACATGAAAGTGACCGATCAAAGTTTCTCGGTACCTTCCATCCTCCGCAATGAGAATAATGTTTCCCTTTTCATCTATCTTTGACTGAGGACTAAACAGCAAGAGACAGCAAACAGAACAAGAGAAGAACTATTAAAGTAAGGACCCTGGACAGTAAAAGTTACTGTTCAAAACAAAAAATGTAACATTAATCCATGGGTAATATTATAAAATGTATAGCAACAGTTCATGCTAACAATTACTGAAAGGATCTAGTGCATCATTATACAAGCTCTCCTTCCAACAGAGAATGCAACATGCGATTGGGAACTTTCAATTTAAAATTAATATGAAAATGTTTTAGTTTTCGAAAAATTTATTCCCGGAAAAAAGGTAAATTTTCTAGGTTGGTATATTCTCAACCATAATCCTTTATACTCCAAAACAAATTACTCTACACATTAATCCACTTTGGGCAGGCATTCGTATAAAATAATTTAAAAATTATCTCATAACCCTAAAATAATAAAATATTCTATTAAGTTTAATAAGTGAACTATTTTGACAACCAAACACTTATATCAATTAATAAAAATTTTTTCAAATCGAGAAATTTCATTAATTGTACAAAATTTTCAATTTGCATCTTCAACCTCAATGTATGCAATGAACTATTCTAACTAAGATACCAAATCAAGATATATCTCATTAAGTCCTATAAACGGTGTATAATACTTTTAAACCTGGGTCTCGAACTTGACTAAAAGCTTTTTTTTAATTACTTAATCAATTATGCACGTAAAGTTTAACTCAATAGTACACAAATATTATGACTTATCTAGGGAGAGTACCTATTACCATTCTACTCCTAGCATGCTAAAATATTTTACTGTAATATAAAATAACTAAAATCATATGCATAACATATCGTACTTACTAAATAATACATAAATGTCACACAATAAATATTTTATGCAATTTAAAAATTCTAAAAAAATAATAAAAAATTAGAAGTAAGATTCTAAGCATGCTCGAAGAAATAGGAGCAAAAACAGACATTAAACAAGCCCACACACCACTCCTATCACATGGGCATCGTTTGGCATCGTGGGATGGTCATCTTCAACATCTAGTTGGGTTGACCGAACGTAACTATAGTGGTTCTTCGACCTGTTAGGGTCTGTCGGGGATTGTCTCCTTTTTTGATGCATTTTTCTTGGTCTTTCCATCAAATTGAAATGTCAAAAATTCAATCAAAATGTTTTTCTATTGAACCCATACAAAAATATGCATCAAAAGCCAACAAAAACTGGATTAAGTAACAAAAAATTTTGGATCACATAAAACCCATATTCAACCCGTTTTTCTTTTCTTTATATTTGGTCATGTACATCAACATTTTATGAAATTAAATTCTTTGATTCAAGTTTATAACACATGAGAAACATCATCCATGGATTAATTTCGGATTAAATACATAAAATGTTGATATTTTAGTCCAAACAATAATTTGAATTAAATGTTAAAACCAAAAACTTTCAACCCTAATTTCTCTCTCCATACAAGAAATTAGAAAACGATCATTATATGGTTTTAATCCTCTTTCAGAGAGAAACAAAAGAGCTCAATCAATTTCAAAAAATAAAGATCAAATTTTAAGATTCCATTAACAACTTAATTTTGCCCCAAATAAGCAATCCATCCAAAAATAAATTAACTAACCTAATTTTAGGATTTTAATATTACACAACCTAGGTTTGATACCACATGTAATGTTTAACCCCCAAGATCATTGTGTAAAAATTAGAACATCATAATTAAATAAAGAGATTTGGTATACCTATTTGGGTGGTCATGATGAATTCGCAAAAGCAAAATGATTCCTAGAATGGCTAGGTCTTCTTCTTTGCTCTTCTTTTACTGGTAACACTCAATGTGTAGTTATCATAACTCATAGAAGTGAAAAAGAGACCTTAGCTTAATTAATTAAATAACCCTAAAAACCTCCCCATCAAATGTTTACTAAGCTAAAAACCTACACAATCGCCAAACTACACTAACTCAATAAGATGTGTAAAGACCACACTTAGGTAACAACATTAAATTATTTGGGCTCTCATGCTTGTCTCATATTAGGACTAAATTTATCAGTTTATTTTATTATTGGGTTTATATTTGATATATTATCATTTTATATATTTTATACACTATCAGTGAATCAGATAATGTCAACTTATTAATGACTAAGTTTTTTAAAAAAAAAAAAAAATTCGTATATTTATTCTAAAGGTTGATATTAACACATTAATGAAATGACATAATCTGATTCACTAACAGTGTATAGTGTCATAATAGTTTTGGGGACCATTAGATGAATTTCAAAACAAATGGAGTCGCCTCCAATCTTTTTGGCTAGATGTGATTGGTCATCTATTAAAACTTTTTAAAAAGAAAATTTTAAACTAATTAAAACTTTATCAAAAAGATAATTTTTTAAGTCTGCAAAAACAATTTGGGTTCAAGAGTCAAATAAGCATGGGGAAAGATTATCACTCCTATAGTGCCTTTTTAAAATGGTACCTATTAATTATGTGTTATCCTTTAATTTTGATGAAAAGGGTCTTAATTTTGAGTATTTAAAATTAATTTTCTCAATTTTCTTTATTGTAGTAATTTTAGTTTTTTTTTAATTATTTTTTTATTCGAGAAAATTACTAGAACTTTGTTATTGAAAGAAATCTTAAAATGTCCTAATATGTTGGGAACATTGAAAGAATTTTTCTCACCTAAAGAATTCTCAAAAATCACTACTCAAAGTTTTCAAATATCTCATCCTCAGTGGTTCATTTTATTCTTAAAACCAATATTTTAAATGTATATAATAACAAAATACTTATAATTTAATTCGAGTAATATTTTCTTCTCATAAAAATTTCTTTCTCATTTCTTTATTAAAAGGTAATGAAAATATTTATTGAAAATTGTTCTAAATGTCCCATTACTTTGGCAGCGTTTTTAGAAAAATGTTCTCACCTAGAAATTCCTAAAAAATTCCTAAATAATCACTACTCAAATTTCTTTAAAATCTTATCTTAAAAATTTTTATTTTTTCATTTTTTTAATAATTATTAATTTTTAAATGTTATGCAATAATATAATTTATCTATAAATAAGTTTATGTCCTAAAATATGCATATTCTTATAAATATTTTATATTTTTTATCCTTTTTTTAAGAAAATTATTCAAATTAAAAAAAAATAAAAATCTTTATATTGAAAAAAGTTTCTAAATATTCTAATACTTTGATAATTTTTCAAGTCTTTTCTCATCTAATAAATTCTCAATTGTCACTACTTGAACTTCTCAAAGTCCCATTACAAGAAAAAATCTCATTTTCATTTTTTTTACATTTAAAAATAGAAGTTTTCACAAAAATAAAAATAAATACCAATGACAATTTTTTAAGAATATTTATTTTTATAACCAATATTATTTATTTCATTTGCATTTTATAAAATATTATTGACCAACTGTAAAACCTGTTAATAAAAAGCCAATAAAAAATTTAAAAAAATTATACCCAAACAAAGCCTTCACATTGAAGCCCAAAATCATGTGTCCACTAAGTTAAAATTTGAAGCTTAGCTACCTCCAACAAATGATATAGGCGAATTAGACCTTAGAAGCTAGGTCATTGGTTCGAGTCAGTTTGACCCAATATTTGCTTTTTTTTTTTTTTGTTTTTGGGTTTTGGTTGCCTATAAAATAAAAAAAAAAATTTTATCTCATTGCAACTTCTCTTTAAAAAAAATCACTTTCAACTTTAAAAAAAAAAAAAACCAACAGCTTTTGTGGTTCCTAATTTTTGATGGTTAATATTCAATCAAATTGCCTCTAGCTAGCAATGACATCATTTTCAACTCAAATTTCAACCAAAGCCTCATTTTCATGTCTTCTTCCTTATTCTAGCCTTGGTTTTCCCTAAATCAATCCCCGTTGTTTTAGATCTAAGCCAAAGTCTAAAACTTTAAACCACCACAAACATTTCCTCCGCCTTTTGATCTTAATGAAACCAAAGTATGTTGGTCTCCTCCTTTTTCTACCCCTTTTCATCAATTTTGATCATCTATAAGTCTCATCGCCACCATTAGCCTCCCTTTTACCATCATTTTTACCTTTTCTCTTTTTTTTTTTGTTTACTTTTTATTTTGTGCTAACGCTAAAGTTTCTCTTTTTGGGGAGGACTATTTTTTTTTTTTTTTACTTTTTTGGTTGGGTATGGTTGTGGAAAAAATAGGGGTTGTTTGGTTGGATAGGGGTCACGATTGAGGTATGATAGAAGTGGCTGTGGATAAGGATTTGTGTATTTTTGGTTTTGTGAATGGGGCTTGGTGCAAGGGAAAGAAAGGCTACTTTTGCGTGGTGGGGTTGTGCCAAGATAGATGTTGGTTCTAAGGAAAGTGAGGACTAGTGCTAATAAGATAAGAGTTTTGGAAAAGCCAATCATGCTGGTGAAGGTTGAGACTTGAAAGACTGACGAGGCTCAGGTTTGGTGAGAGCAAGGATGGTGATAAGGTACATGTGAGGGTGGAGTCGATCATGTGTAGAGCTCATGGTCTCGGTTCCTAGTGTTGGGAAAAGATGCTGAGACTTTTTGAATTTTTCCTTTCTATATCTATGAATAAAATCACATAAAACAATAAGAATTCAATGTTTCAACCAAACTTGTAGTTTGTAAAAT